CAGGGAGATGAGAATTAATTCCTTCCTTTCTGAAACAACTAAGTATGAGGCAAGACACATTTCAAAGCCTTTGCCACCAAATTATCATACTGAATTACAACCAGGCCATAAAACAGCTCTTCACATGGCAAGTTCAATTATGGAAGAGTCATAATAATACTCAAACAGAACAAACAAAAAGTTTCTACCATCACATTGCAACCTACCTTTTCAAATCATCAAACACATCTGGCAACAGGAAGTTAAGCAGTGACCAAAGCTCTGCCAAGTTGTTTTGCAGGGGAGTGCCAGTCAACAGGAGCTTATTGTCTGCGTTAAATCGTTTCAATTCTCTGATAAGGCGGCAGTTCATGTTTTTAATCCTGTGACCTTCATCTACTATCAGGTATTTCCAGTAGCAGCTCTAGGAAAATAAAGGATATTTCAGTAAATTTTAGCTTAATACCATCAAAACAGGTGTCAGATCAATTAAGAAGCACTAATAAGACTGTTTGATACTGAGTGCCTGTTACAAAGGTTCTATTTATTGTTTTTCACTTTGCCAAACATTTAATGCCACACATCTGCTTCATGGTGACTGCCTTTTAGAAAGCTTTTGTTAGAAAACAAAATTTCTACAAGAAGTTCATCTTGCTGAAACAACCATTGTGATGTTAACCACAATGTTTATACACTAAGTATAGCTTTTACTCTAAACATCCTTAACCATCATCTACAGGAAGGTAACAGAAAGAGCAGGTATGCTCCAACTATCTGCTTTTAGAATAATGGTGTTGAAAGAACTTAAACATTAAAATGCAGAGCTACTACTACCAAGGAAACAAGTGAATGCCAATATACATGCTACCATATGAAACTTACTGTGCAGGCAGCATGTGGGGCTTTTTTACCGTGTTCAAAAGCACTATTATCAGTACTGAGGCACAACACAGTCCTAGGCCTAAGAGAACTTGTGTACCTGCAGGGCATTTCTGTCTCGCATTGCTATTTCAAAGGAAGTAATGACCACAGGATAGATTTGCAGTGATCCTTGTCTTCTGTGAATTTTATGAACCAGTTTACGACGCTCCTGCTGAGCTCCATGATAGAGCATTAGAGGAATCTGTGAAAAAAGACGTTACAAGTCAGGACTACAATGCCCATTTTAAGCTAATGGGGAGACAGTAGAAATACCGAGATCTCTTACAAGAAGGCTGTATATACACAGCAAATCATGGCACAATTTGTAGTAATCATACAAATAACTACAGTTAAAATTATGTTCTA